AGTTTTAGTAATTCATATTATAAAAAATTAAAATTAATAATGAATAAATTTTTTAAATAGTTAATAGAAAAAAGAATATCTTAATATAATATTATTTATTAAAAAAAAGTTTTTTATAATGAATTTTTAGAGTAAATTAAAGAAAGTTTATTTTTATTTTATTTTTTTTATAATATATTTAGATATTTTTAAATATATTATTTTTTTTAATTTATTTTTTTATAGTTTTTTATATTTTAATAACTTTATAAGATATATAATAATAATAACTTATTTATAATAATATATAGATTAAAAATTTTTCCATTTAAAATTTTTTACAGATAGAAATATTGTTTTTAAGATCAAATTTAAATACTATTATTGTTTATAATAAGTTGATTATATTTGATTAGAAAAGTTTGGTTATAGTATATATTATATTACTTAAATAAAATATACTTTATGTTTATTTGATTAATAAACTAGTAATCTAATTTGATTAAAAATATTACAAAAAAAAAAAAAAAACTATAAATATTTTGAGAAACAATTTTATTATTGATTTAAAAATATTAATAACTTAAATTTTTAATAATCTATGCTTTTTTAAAAAAATTTTTTTATTAATTCTTGGTAAAAATCATATAATTATAAATTTAAAAATAGATAAGATTAAAATTCATAATACAAATATAATAAGTGATTTCAAACTTTTGTAAATTATGATATATATTTATATTTACATAAATTCTAATTTTTTTTTTATTTTAGATAAGTTAGACATTGAATTTTCAAGAAATAAAATAAATGTAAAACTTGCGAATTTAATTATAAATTAGAATAAAAACTTAATGTATTAAGCAATAATGATTAATATATATATATAATATTTTTTTAAAAAAATTTTTTTTTATGCATGTATTAATACATATTGGTCTAAATCTATATCCAAGTTCGTTATTGTAGATACGGAGATGGATAGGGGATAATAGGAGTTGTGTTTAAATAGGTTCGTTTTATTTCAACAAGCCACGTGACTTTTAATAGATGATTTACCGAAGATCAGGCGTATCACGCATAGGTGGCAGATCTTCTCGGGAATAATTGTTGCGGTTCAATTCTTTCGGCAAAGAAAAAAGAAAATTCTGGATTATTGATTATTTATGTAATTACGGAAAAAGTCGATACTAGGACTCAATCATGGATCTTTCCGAAGATTCCCCAAATCGTCATGGAATTGCACCTGTGAAGAAAGAGTAATGATTTGATCATGTGGATTCATCTTGTTCGTCATCAAATAGACAATTTACATTGACTGTTCACTATAGATATATTATTAAGAAAGAGAATATTCAACAGGAATCTGTTGACCCCGAAGGATCAGTAGAGGTAAAGGCATCTTCGATCTTGGGTATGAATCGTATCTGGAATGAACTTAAACACGGGTACATTATGGTGCTTAACAATAGGAGCCACCAAAAAAGAAGATTTGCATCACACGAACAAGAGGATCAAACAAAGAGAGGGCTGTTAAAACGTTTTCTGAACCTAAACGTGTATGTGATGTTTGCAAAGGCTTTCTCGGGATCTATAATTGCCGCTAATCAAAGTTTCATCGACTTGCAGCTTTGCCTTAAAGTTTCATTGGGTGAAATTTGTGATTCGGACTCGTACGTTTTGATAATCGAATTATTTAAAGCTTGGACATCATCAGAATTGATAAAACCTCCATATCAATTTTCAGGTGTAGATATGATCACGATCTGGATGCATATTTGAAATCCAAAGAGAAGGATCTAGGAAGCCGATGTATCAACTTTGAAAAATTTGGAAGGTATTTTTTTTCTTTTTGATAGTTTAAAAATTTCGAACCTAAATTGTATTAAATTTATTATTCGATCTTTTTAAAAGATGCCGGTTCGGGTACAGATGTCGTTTCTTAAACGCACATCTGTCCCATGATGGTAAATTAGTGGTAAACGAGGAAGTAGGTTTACATACTCGATTACCCTTTCTGTTAGTGAGACATTCAATTTACTAACAATAAGTTGCTAGCTTGCCTCATCTAAAATTATCGAAGAAAAGAATGCAATAAATGTAGAACTTCAAAAGTTGCTCCGGAAAAATACGGTTGGTTGATTGCCAATAATCTTTTAGAGAATGTCAATTGTATTTAATGTTATTTTGAATTTCAGTACAAGTTTCCAAAGTCAGATGTGTACCTCGCCGAAATTGGGGAGGAGATTGCCAACCAACTGGAGAAAGAAAAGAGAAACAAATTGAGAAAGTTGCAAGCTCAACATTCAAAAGAAGAAGGGAATTTCGAAATTAATTTGGAGGCCCAAGTTCATGAATCAAAGAATAATGAAGACGTTGTGTTAGGGTCCACGAGCAGTGATATTAAGAAAGAAGAAAAGGTTGACATAATTTCATCGGATGTTGGAAGAGCCTCTGGGATCATCAACGCCGCGGAATTTGTTGATACGCCTGATGTTCCGTTACGTGATTGTGAAAAGAAGAAAGTAAATTTACTCTCAATGATTTTTTTTTTTTGAATCTCGTGTTATCTATGTAGTTGACTTTTTACGTCATCAAGATTTCTTTTAAAAATAAATTATACCTCGCACCGCTTACGACGGTTGGGAATCTCCCTTTCCGACGTATATGCAAAGAATTCGGAGCCGATATCACATGTGGAGAAATGGCAATGGCCGTAAATTTACTCCAAGGACAGCAAAGCGAATGGGCATTGATGAAACGACACGTTAGCGAGGATATTTTTGGCGTTCAACTGTGCGGATGCAAAGCCCAACACCTGGTAAAGTGTGCAGAGGTTTTGAGTAACGAAATTGAGGTTGATTTTGTTGATATAAATCTCGGGTGTCCAATTGATCTTGTTTTTAACAAAGTATGAAGTTTTCTACCTGGATGAAAGTATGGTTAATCTTCCGCATTCACATCTAATTTACTGTTCCTTCATCAGGGGGGAGGGACGGCGCTTTTAAGGCACGATGGAAGGATCGGAAAGATTATTAGAGGAATGCAGAGGGTAAGTATTTTGTGTTTCTTACAAAAATTTTCCTAATTTTTTTTTTCTCAAATCATTTATATAGGTCATGGACTTTCCAGTTACGGTAAAGTTTCGTACGGGTATTCAAGACAACATGCCCGTTGCACACAAACTAATGCCAAAATTCGAAAGCTGGGTAAGTATAACTTATATTTATCGAAAATCCTGATATCATTAATTTACCCTTGGTACCGTTTCAGGGAGTCGCATTGGCTACGGTTAGCACTCATTTAAAAACTCAAAAGTATTTTCAAGAATTTGTTTCCCCTGAAATCTGATCGTTCTCCACAATAGTTACACGGACGTTCCAGGCAGCAAAGATACACAAAACTCGCCGATTGGAAGTATATTTCCGAAGTATCGCATACCATAGGAGACATGCCTTTCTTTGGTAGTATATTTCCGAATTAATTTTATTTATTTATTTAATTTATTCGATTTTTTTTTAATAGTTGGTTAAATGTCTTAGGGAATGGGGATGTACTTGGGTACACCGACTATTACGAGCATCTTGAAAGAGATCACGTTGATGGAATTATGATTGCGCGCGGGGCTTTGGTAGGTGTCATATATTGTGACTTATATTCATAATTCAGATTTCTCAATAATGCGTATAAATCTTGTTAGATCAAACCTTGGATCTTTGATGAAATCAAATCGAAACGTCATTACGATATTTCGTCGAAAGAACGTTTTGACATTCTGAAAAAATTTTGTGACTACGGGATGGAGCACTGGGGTTCTGACACGATTGTGAGCTTTTAATATACTAGTCATAAAGTTTGCTCATGACACACTGAAATCTGAGATATCATGTGAAACTAGGGAGTTAACCAAACCCGAAGGTTCCTTTGTGAGTGGATGAGCTTTTTATATAGGTACATACCCGTGGGGTTACTTGAAGTATTGCCCCAACGCATAAATGAGCGTCCACCACCCTTTCGGGGAAGAGATGAACTAGAAACCTTGATGGCAAGCCCTAATAGTAAGGATTGGGTGAAAATTAGGTGAACATTTTACAATATTCACTGTTCTTCGTGTAAGCAACACCTTAATGCGGTGATTAAAGGAAGCTATTCTCCATTATTAGTGAAATGCTATTAGGTCCTGCTCCGGAGAATTTTGCATTCATTCCAAAACACGCATCGAATTCTTATGAAGGATGACGAATTCTATACCTTGCCAATGAGGATTGCTATGTGCGAAGTGATGCAAAATAATTGAATTTTTTGTATAGCAGATAGCTTCTCCGTAAATTTTGTGTTGTCATTTTTTCATTTCGTCAGTTTCGTGTTATAACATCTGAATTAATAAATTATACGTATTGCATACTAAAAAAATAAATTTAATCGTGGAAAACCTCTTTCTTTTAAATGGATAGTAGATAATTTAAATGATTCCGTTATTTTAACTTTTAATTAAATGCGCCATAATAAAAGAAACGACAAAACTTCAATCATGATTTTTTTTTATTCAATCGAAATATTACAATTCCTATGACTCAATGTGATGTTTGTTTTTTTTTTTTGTAGATCTGTTAATAAAGAGAAAATGCTGTAATGATATTAGAAATATCATTAGAATCGTCATCAAGAGGAACGTTTAGATAAGAACTATTCTATTCTGTGAGGGCGTGGTGATATATTTTATTTAGGGAATGTTATGCATTTAACCAAAACATGCAATCTCGAATAAAAGAAAATAAATAAGGACACACAATATCCAGTATTATATAGTTATATCCAGTAGGCAACAAAAATATCCGGAATTTTTTAGAAAGACTAATCTGTTTTCAATAATGCATAGCATTTATAAAAGCCTGTGGTTCTTGAAAAATGAAGTCGATTATAATTAAATAAACCATTATTTTACTATACAGTATAAACCACTGATTTGTTTCGAATAAACCTTTTTACTGGATTCTAGAGAGTGATAGCTTAGCTTTTGTTTAAGCTATAAATTTGGATTAACGATTAATACTGTTTAAGCTTTAATTTTATTTATTCTAAATCGTTTAGTGAACAATACCTTGAGAATGGCTGATCCGTCCTTAATGACCTATTGCTTAAATGAAAGCCAAGAACATTCAGTAAGAAAAATTCCGGGTATTTTTGTCGCCTACTTTTCCACAAGAAATATTTTAGTCATTATAGATGTGATATAGGCATATCAAAGGACCGTTTGTATAGGCGCTCATTTAATAAACGAGCCAAATTGACAAGAACCTATCTCTTCTATATTGGGCATAGAATATTTATGAGAAATATACTGTATGTAAAGCATTGATACATTATAAAGTTGTAAAGATTTTATAACGTATATTATAACAATCCACACAATGATTATTCAGCTATCATAAACCTTCGTGAAGGTAGCAGACCTGATAATTGATCCGCCTAATTTTTATTGGGTTCCTTCTTTGTGAAATTTTTAAAGAGAATTGTTTTACAAGTAAGCTCGCCTTGGAATATATCAAACCATTTGTTTGCAACTCATCGAACCAAGGAATCGAGGATCGCGATTTGAAAGAATAATATCAAAAATCCCACATCTTTAAACCTCTTGTTAGAACTTTGGATATGAATTCTTGTACCATATGGTAAGAGATATGAATTTTTGTTTATTTAATAAAAAGCATACATAATTTATAGAACTACAAATGTACCTTAGAGAGGAGTCATGGGCAAAACAAACAATAATATAATAAATAATAATTAAATAATCATTCATTCATGCAATGTTTTTTTAAAAGTTTTTTCTGTTAAATAGAATTTTAATGTTAGGAAAACTTCGTGTTCGGTAGCAAACAGGCCATATCAATTAAAGCACGGTAGAATAGCGCACCACCTACCAGAGATTGGCTCTCCAAAATTTTTGGCTAAATCAATCGTCGGTATAATGAGCTTGGCCTCCTTCAGAGCTATGCTAGAAAAACCACGCCTACTCAAGGGATGTAGCCGTTGATATTTTAGCACTTTCAGGCTTCCAATCTTAGCATAATTAACCACTACCTTCAAGTAAGAATCCTGAATCAAGTCGCAATGATGCAGTATTAACTCTTTGATTTTCAATTTGCGATTTCCAAAAAACCTTTTCCAATTTTCGAGACCAATATAAAAATCAATTTCCAAATATTCCAACGTGGAGGGGAATGATTTTATCAACTTTTCGTTAATCCCATTTGTTTGAAGAGCTCGGCGTCGGAAGAACCTATTCCTACCGCTTATAAAACGCAGCGACAAATGAGTGAGGTTGCGAAGTGAACTGAACATGGTCAATAAGCTTTGAAATTCGTTGCTTGTCACTGTCAGTGTGAGTTTACTGATATTTGGACAATATCGGC